GCGTTCTCTACTCGTTACTTAAAATTCTCTGATTAAGTATTTTATAGTTCGTACACAAGATACTTATTTCAGCAAAACAAACAAACTCATGAAATTGAAAATAATTAAAATTAACCTAAAATTGCAAATTGAATTGTTACGAGTAGATTTTTCGGCTTGTTTACTTGATGTGTAATTCCATTTCTTTAATAAAATTTAACAAACTGTTATACTGTAATTTGTGGTACGATTCCATGTGTTACATTAGTAGACCAACAATTTAATTCAATTGAGCATGGAACAATAGCAATTGGAACGCCTATATTTGTACGATATTTCCTTTCAATCTGGCAGTACTGAATGAAGCTATCTGAGTGCAGACGTCCGGCACTGAATTCAAAGTCTTTTGTAAAGTTAACAAACACTTTCGGATATGATTCAACATATTCTCCTGGAGCCAAACCACTCTGGTGATAATTTACAACGTAAAAAGGATATGACAATTGACAATCGCTTTGTAGTTTGCCATAATGAAACTCAGCACAGTGGAAAATCCATTTTTTTCTGCTCGTTTCTTTTTTCATAGACTTTGACTGATTTCACTATTATGACTTGAATGGATGAGTGAATGTATGGTTCTTAATTTTCAATGGACATTGTAATTTATCTTATTATATATGGTATATAGTAATTTTTTATTTATTGATCAAATGAGATTTGGGTAATGAACAAAGAAATTATTGAAAGTTTTTCATATAGATATTGTATAAGGAAATTGAATTTGTACACATGCTTTTTTACTTTTATTAATCCGAACTCAGGTATAATGGATAGATTAATATCCCAAATAGGCAAAAGGCTAACGTACAAAATTAAACAGACCGAATTTATATTCAATAATTATATCAAAAATTAAAATAATTGAACTGCATCATATATATAGAAAAGAGAACCTTTTTTATTAGAATTAGAAATATAAAATAATATTAATAAAACGTAATTATAAAAATCGAATCTCGGAATGGTTACAGGTTCCTCTGGGAGGTATGCAGATCTGAGGTCAATTATAGCTTATACTGATGAAGTGATAAACAATAATCCAGTCAAGACGTAGAGAGGGGTTATGAAGAAACCTCGCAGTTAACAGAGTGTAAAAGTGCTCAAATGCACTGACACAACTAGGCTCAACATTACAATAAAATTTCATATTGATTTGTTTTTACTTTATTGTTGTTGTTTGGAGTAATATCATAAGACAACCTTTAAATCTGGCTTTCGTTGTATTTTTTTCATTATTTTCTCAAACCAAATATTTTGCTAAACAGTCTATTCCTCTTCTATTTATAAAATAAAGTTATCTTTCAACAAATAAGTAAGTAAATTTTAAGAACAGTTTTTATAAAACGTGTCATTGACATAAAAAAAATATAAAAACATTTAGATAATTATATAAAGGCACGTATGTGTTATAAAGGAATAACAATTTCTAAAAACATCACTATCATAATTTTTTAAAAACATTTTTTATTATGAATCAACATACGCTACTAAATCGACTTCATATTAAATGTAAAGTAAATCTATTTCACTTCACTAAAGTTATCAATAATCAAAGTGCTATCTAACAGTACCAAAAATGGGGCCACAGAGATGAAGCAAAAATGTTGAGAATGATTTTACACAAGCACAAACCAAAAAGTGCTAGCTAATAGTGCCAAATATGACTAAAAGTGCAAACTACGCGGTTTATAAACTAGATTAAACTCTTAAGATCTGCATTTGAGCTGTCTACTAGAACCAGTTAGCTTATAATAAGTATCAAAAGTGCTTAAATCTCTTTTTATTATTTCTACTTTAATCATTTCACCGAGTTGTGCACTTCTCGACTTTCTTGTTGACTTAGCCAAAAGACTTTAATTGAAGTATGATTCCTTGAATATTTATAAAATACCATCTCTATTTAGAGAAAAGTAGTGTCACACTACATTATACATATTATTTATTAACAAATTTTTATATAATATAAATTGTATATAATATGTATATTTTCTTTGTGCGGAAGTACTTATTTTTCTGTTACGTGGTGTAAACTAAAAAACTTGTAGGAATAATTTTCAGTTTTTTGTTCAGACTTCTTTTAAAGTTAAGCTTGTCAGACTAAGTTTCTCAAGTATTTTATCTGGTGTTTTTTTTATTTTATTATTATTATTACCATTTAATAATAATTATTATAATTATTATTATATTATTAGACCTTCGTTTTTAGTATTATTAACCAACTCATATAATTTTCATTAAAAACACTTCAATACATAAGAAATTTTAAGCGCTTTACACTTATTTATATACCGTGATTCGCTATATTACCGTAAAAATAAAATGTCGAAACTACGATGATGCATATCATCCAAAAGTTCTTGTGATTGAATTGAGAAGAAATATACTTGTGCAAATTAAGTAAAAATATACTTGTCATGTCCATATTTAAATTGAAATATTTCATATTGACAATCTGAACATTTTCGAAAAATGAGTCATTAACTCTGCCATAATTTTTTTATATTTAATTAAAATGTCATTGGAATGGACGAAGTGATTCACATTCGTGATTTGCATTTCAGGGACATTTCACAATCAATAAATTTATGTAAGATTTTATTATTTTCTCGTCATGTAAAGGTTAAAAGAAAATATTTAAGGCACGGCGAATGTGATAAAATGATAAGGCGCTAAATATGTGATATATAGAATATATATATTAAAAAGGAATTACATATTTTAAGTGCGAAATCCACATCAACAATTATATTATATTATAATGCAGTCAATTATATTTAACGAGTTCGATTCCTGGGACTTGCTGAAACTGCAAGTCTCAAAAATTATTTCCAAGACCAGCCGAAAATTCAATTAATTAAAATAATATGAAACCAATTTTTGTTGTTGTAGTTCATTACTGTTCAAAAAATCTATTTATATTTAACACCTAAATTTTTAGAAGTAAAAAAATTAAAAAAAAACAAAAAACAACTAATTTATATATTTTACTACTTTATAATTGTCTAAATATTACAAAATATTTCCTAGAAACTTTCAAAAAAACGGATGTAAATTACTAGAAGCTATTACTTTCATCTAATTATAGTTCCTATCAAGAGACATGCATCACATAATATTTCCACATGAAAACTCATTTATCACTTTTTATCGACAGAAGCATGAAATAATTTTCATATATGGCAAAAAGTAACATTTCTACTTAATTCTAAATAATAACAAACAACATAGGCCAACAGAAGATAAAACCATTGAAAAAGAACAAATGAATCCCTGTAGAAGAGATAAGGAAAGTAATAATTGTCAACCAAAAAAATAAAACGGAAAGTCTACACATTTCTCATTTATTCTATCCAGATCCTTTTGGTGCTTCCATTTGCAATACAAACGAACATAAGTTCTACTGGATGCCGCACAAAAGCCCTCATTTGGAACAATATGGCAACACTAGAACGAACACAACACGCTTTCATATCGCATTTAACATGTGTGTAAAATGGCCATTAGGGTACACACACTTACCCAGCAGCACACGCAAAGATGCCCATCACGGGACCTTGCTGACCTTTGGTCAAAGCGAGTACATTAGTGCATAGCTCAGACATTATAAAAACCCATCCATATGAAATGCTGTGCACATACAAATTTATCTGTCGTACTTGTAGTTTTCTATTGCTGAATATATGTTCATCTATCTATCTTTATTGCCTTAGATATATTCTGCTTATTTGCGGTTTTTGTCAGCAAACAAAAACTGCTTCTGTTTTTGTTTTTGTTTTTATTCAACTTTTTCTGATGTCTCAGCGTACAATTTTATGAAGGCCGTAAAAATTTTATCACTCCATTTGAGTCACAGCAATGACACTAGTTGAAGTGTTTTCATATAACTTTGCCAAACAATTATTTTTATGTCAATGAGCAGAACCACTTCATTCTTTTGAAATAGAATAGATAAAACTCCCTTAACGATTTAAATGAATAATTATCAACGGTTAACTGAACTCAGTTATTTAATTGAATTTAAACATTAATTATATGTTAATTTATTTGCCTTTATGAAAAATCCTCCTAAGTAGGATCAAATCCCACTCAAAGCATTTTTAAAAGATTAACAAAAGCATTGTCTATTTCAAATTCAATGAAAATACCACAACAAAGTCTTTTAAATAAACTTACTTATTAATATATAATAATATATATAAAAACTGTAAAACATACTATATTTCCACAGCTATTATATTTGCTTTATTATGCATTAAATTGTTTATAATAAGTTGATAATTATCATAATATTGTCAGGAATACGACTATGTCTTTTTAAGCAATATACTTATTTCTTATAACCAATGTGCTATCAATGTGCTATTTAAAAGTACCGAACATGGGACCACAAAGATGAAGCAAAAATGTAGACAGGAATAATTACACAAGAACAAACCAAAAAGTGCTAGCTAATAGTGCCAAAACTACGCGGTTTATAAACGAGATTATACTCTTAAGATCTGCATTTGAGCTGTCTACTAGAACTACTTCTACTAGAAGTTGTCAGGAATACGACAATGTCTTTTTAAGCAATATACTTATTTCTTATAACCAATTACATATTAAAATAGCGTCTCTCTGATTAACTAGCTTTATTAAATAAAATTATTATTTAATATTTATTGAAATGTTTTAAAAATCACAACACATTCTCTAATTTATTTTTTTCCTTTCGATTACTTAAATTAATCTTGCAGGTAACTGAACAGAACAACATTTTTCGAATCTTAAGCCTTACCTAGTGAAAACACATATCTGTTAATTGCAAACCATATCAAGTATAGCTATTAGAACGCCATTTTTATTGGCCAAAGATAAATTAAGGCTCCTTAATCTTTCACAATAAAATCTAAGCTAGCTAGACCATGTTGGTCGAAAATCAACGGTCTAAATCAACACGCCGAAATCACTTTTATTAGGGTTTCCCGGTCATAGTAATCTAGCTATAAAGAAAATGAAAAAGAAATAGTTTAACTCGCCTTGCTGCTATAATGGATATCACCTTAGGCGTTGTTTAGTTGGTTGGTTACAGTGGCAAGTCAACAGTTATTTTTTTCCGCTGACTACATATAGCCATTTTCGCGGTTTACTATGACATTCCTCTCAAGAAACCCTAAAATACAAAAACTTATTCTACCTCGTCGAGTTTAAATATATTAAAAAACTTTTCATATTTACCGTCTGACAAACCATCAAAAAAGTACTTACCTAAAAACCTATTTCTTCTGTAGATCAAAGCTGGGCATTCACAAAGAAAATGCAAAAAGTGTACAAGTCTGTAAAGTACATAAAATTATTTTTTATATTTTCTTCAGCTAGATAAAAGATGGAAATTACTCATAGTATTCCCATGAGTAATGGGTATTTCCATAATAGGATCAGGCCACTGCGACAATGATGCACTACTACCCTAGTGGCAGTTCTGACATACTACTGTATAGGAAACCATGCAGAGAAACTGCATATCCCTATTAACATTTATTGTTAAAGTTACAGAAACTTCGTCAAAAAAAAGATACAATAACGCAATTTTAATGCGATAACACAGCTTAACAACAGGTTTTTAGCCTCACACTTATCATTCTGTCAAATAATTAATCAATAATAACAAAAAATCTGACAAACTACATTTATTCAACAAGATGGATTTGGACTAATCTTAAATGGTTTCTTGCAAACAAAAAATACTTTAACAGAGAATAATAGGCGAAATATAACGGAGAAGCAAATGGTTATGTACTAAATAATCATAGCAATGTAACTACCAACCAATCAATCCTCAATTCTTAGCAGATCCCGACTTTTTTCGGTAGCTTCTCGATTTTTTCATAATGATAAGTATAATATAACATATGTTATTGGAATGAAACAACCAAAAAGAAGTAATATAAATACAGCAAATCAAGTAACAATTTGACTTATGTTAGTTAGCAGCATATCTTTCTCATAGTATTGTATTAAGGGGACATTATTCACTTAAAGTTGAAACTATCGTAATCATTAAATCAAATCAATGAAGAGAATGAATCAATAATTATAATTAACCACTACAAGTACAAAATTATTGTTATGTGCTTTTCGAAAACAAGCTATTATGCTAATTGTCATTTCACGGCGTAACCACTATCTCAATGAAATTATACGAGTATATTCACACAATATCTTTAATGCCACACTATAAATTTACAGGTTTGAGTAATCTGAAGTCCATGTCAACCGCAAGATTGATTGAATTACCTTTTAACCAAGGCAATAGTAATGTTTGAATTAGATTAATAGCTGGCGACTAGATAACTATAACCAACCAATAAATAGGAACAATACAATAATAACAATGCTCAAATAACAATAAAAGTGTTAAAATTTTCTTCATATGCGAGTACAGATTGCCATAAGTAACACAAAACCATTATTTTAATATAAACAATGAATATTTCACATGGTTCACTAGTATACTATTTAGTTTCTAACAATTCCCAGTATGTAATTTAAATAATTACATACGTTTATAATTATAACAGATTGACTTACTGAGTTCATTTGAAGTAAAACTGTGTATGACTTTAATCTTCTACATCTAACAATTATTTCTTTTTGGAACTTATCTTCGTGTATCTTCGACAACCATAGCAATACTGTTCCTATTGTGCGTAAGAATAAAGGTTTGGGCACAGGCTTTATAAGAAGTATGCTCCATATATAGACAAAAGACGATAACGTTCCATGAAATAGTGCGAATATGATTTCGCGGAGAACAATCATAAAGAAGAAAGAGTACTTTAGTCTCTGTACTATACAGTAGGGGACAACATAACAGTGATGATCGGTATGACGTTGCATAAAGCATACCACCACAACACTGACCAAAACAACAAAAAAGTATTATCACCTTCTTTCAACTTATTGAAAATAGAACACAAAAGAAACGGACAGCTTTCAATGGAGCAAGGCACTGCAACTATAATAAGCATTTGTGACTCTAGACGAACTGAAGATAATTAGCTTTTCAAATGATCAAGTATTTGTAATCGAATAAAAAACAATCAGTGTTTCAAACAAGTTCCAGTATGTATCGTGCAAAAGAAATCATAATATCAGAGAGGTATGTGGCTTATGGTCCTACAAAAAATGTGATTAGAGTTGATTTCGTCTTGCTAATGAAATTATTTATTATACCAAAAATAGCTAATGTTAACAAATACAAATACTGCATAAAACTAAGTAAACTTTACGAACCCAAGCGTCTGACATTGAACTCAAACTCTCATCTCTTTCTTTAACTCGTGCAGACCATAATTTTTTTTTAGTAATTCAAGCACTTCAATTTGATTTATTAATATTACATTTTCCATAATAAATATAATTGAACAGCAATTTTATTAATTATATTAGCCTATTTACTCTTCATGTTTCTCTCTAAAATAAATTTATTTTAATTAATTGGTATTCGCTCCCTTGCGTCCTGCATTTTGTGTACATAAAAGTTTATTAAGTATACTCAAATGATAAAAACCAAATCAGACCCCTTCAGTTGCTAATAGTAAGCATAAATCTTTGTTAATTACTTTAAGCGCTTTCATACTCGCATATTGCAAATCACTCATTTCCAATGCCATCATATAACCAGCAATTCCATAAAATCCAAGTCCAAGTGCCATTTTTATTGTAATTGAATATGGGTTAATGGCGTATATATATCAGTAAAATAATGCGAATAATGCGTATTATCCTGGCACTGCGCTAGTATTAATGAACAACTAATTGCGTAATGCTTACTATAAACTAAACCACGCGCACACATACACATACACACACACACAAATATCTAAGGACATATATATCCTTATTAAAACAAAACGAAACATTGAATGTAGTCGGCAATGCAGTCGCCCCAAAACGACTGCCTGTCGGCTTTTGGTATATAATTCAATGTTTTATGGTAATTATTTTCATTTAATATTTTATTTGCTGTTTTGGTTTCATAAGCAGCTTTTGTTTCCTTCCATTTACCATTCCATTTTGCATGTCCTTCCTACCAGTTATTTCGGTCTACTACTACTTAAGATACTTTTATCTGACGCGCTGTCCCGTCTTAAAATATTATGAAATTATTTTTGTTATGTGCGTAAAATGGAAGTGGCTTGTCTTAATGAAATGTACATTTCATGTTTTATTTCATTTCATATAATTATTCAGTATTTTATGAAAATACTTATCTCATTTCAAACAAAGCGAAAAACTTTTAATAACACGAGTTTTCTGTGAAAAGTGTGAATATACATTTTATTTTCGTTTATTAACTTATGAAGCTAATCTTACTAAATTTAGAGCTTACTAAATTTAGAGTTATTAAAAGAGTTATTAAAAGTTTTTTCTACTTCTATTGTTCAAACATTTTTAATATGGTATTATATTAATCTAAGTAATTAAATAAAAAAATATATACGTGCAAAATCTGAATATAACTATTCGAATCCATCTAAGCATAATTCGTTTAAAGCATTTCATTTATGTTTTTTGTTTTTGAGAGGATTAAATAAATTTCCTTATATCCTTTTTTTATATTTTTAATGCATAGCATGAAGTGCATCTAAGCTTGAAGTATGCAAGCTACATTAGTTTTCAAATATGACATAAAAGCTTAAGCAACAAGGACATTATACGATATTAAGCTTATGCCACAAGCATCTTTGAAAAGATACATGCAGTTAGTTTTATGTTATATATACTGTATAAACTGTATAAACTGCTTAATAATGCCAAACAAAAACTAAACAATACACAAGGTTAGTTAACTCGCAGCTATGATTAACTGACAGTGGAACACAAAATGTCATCAAATCACACTCACGAGACTTGACACTGCATTCAACCAAATGTGTTAACACTGACTTTCTCAGATAAACTACTGCATACGGAATAAGCATGTGAAAATTATTTTAATGATTTTGTAAATAAATGAAGCGATTATTAACAGAGGACCATATTTTGTTTAGGGAAATATAATGTATCACACAAAGAAAAAGTGCTTTAAGGTAATGTATGCACGTTGTATGGTTCTAAATAAATATGGTATGTAGGTACAGCGAAGATTAAATAACTTTTTCGAAAAAATCTGAATAATATTTAAACAGAACACCTCAGGTCTTTAACATAGATTTATAAAATTTTTCCTTAGAATTGTTGCAGGGAATACAGGACCGTGACGAATTCTAAGACCGTTCCCTGTTTGATGTCGGTTGTCGTTATCAGAGCAGTTAGTTCGATACTAATTTTATTGGTTTTTGTAAACAGTAGATTTTATTGAATCTGTAATATACTTATTAGTATATTAGCTGTACTAGGGCTATATGATATATCCACCTACACTAAAACCAAAAAAGATAACGATGATATGAAACACTTCGTAAAATCAAACATCAAAAAACTAGTTAAATTTAATTAATTAAAATTAAAAGTTAATTTATGTTCGTATTATCTTCTTAATTGATTTGAAGAGCATGTAGGAATAAGGTCGTCACATTTACTTCAAGACATTGCTGATGATGTTTTTCAATAATAATAAAAGAATTGACGTGAAAATTGCCCAACAGCCGATACTGCGGTCAGAAGAGACCTATTGTACCAGTTTCACTATTGATTAAACAAAGCCCCTTAGAGCTTTGTGAATAAAGTCTAGAACTAAATCTAGAGAAGAGTTCTTATGAAGTTTCTTACTTCTTTCGTTAATTATTTATATCATAATGCGAACCTATAACTTTTCTAAAATTTGAAATATGCTTTTTTATGTATAACTAAAAGCTCCTTTGGAATTCACTAGGAACTGGAAACTTATTTCCCTCCTTTTCCAAAAGTTTTGCGAGATCTAAGAAATATTTGACATATTCGATGCATTGTTAATGCATTAATCTAAAGTATTTTATCAAAAATTATTATTTTTATCAAATAATTAAATTTAATTTTTTTGCTTTTAAAACTTACTTCCACTTCTCATTTGTGTGACATCATTTCGTGAGAGCAAACGACTAATATTTGATAGAATATAATCAAAACGGCTTTTTCTAATATTTGGATATACAAAGTATCTAAAACGAAGAAAGTAAACTTATAATACAAAACTTCTAATCACAATTGACTTCTAAACACTAGTATGATCTATGCCAATACTTTTTCAATTTAACACACGTCTTACAGAATTTCGCCACAGTTATTAATGCGATGGTTAATAATACCACATTTCAGCAGAAGTACATATATAATGTAACATGAACGTTGTTATATTAAAAAAAACTAAATCTCAAATTAATAATATTGTTCAGCCTTACTTCAAGTTTCTTAGATGTACGTACTATAAAGCAGGCCATCATCGGATCACATCATTACTTTTATGCAACAATATCCATATACTTTTATGTGTGATTATTGAAATTATTAAGGATATTACTTATATTCTCCTTATGTATCAACACTAACTATTTAAAAATATAAAACATTTAATAACTTTATAAGTTGCTTTATAAAAGTATATTGAAGTTTTCCCTTTTGCCATATTATTATTATAAATTCTCTAACTAATATCTCTCTTGAATATTTAACGACTCTCTTATCTTCTAGTTCTTAAACTAATTTTTTTTGTTGTATTTCTTTTTTTTTTATTACTTCTATGTATACATTTAATTTTGTGCTTTCGTATTAGAGAATAAGAAATAACAATGCAACAACAATGTAAACACAAGCAATAAATTTACAATAAACACGATGTAGTCTTGTGAACAACAACAATATTTCTGTATTTATGATGAAATAGTTAGCTTTTTACTATAATACTGATAAAAATTAAATATTTTTATTTATTATTGATTTTATTATTAATTAAAATTTTGCAAATATAATTATTTACACAAAGAAAATATTAAAACTAAATTAATAAATTCACTTTAAAATGAATATATATTTATTATCTGATTAGCATATGAAAGCAATGTGCATTGTTATATATTCTACTCATAGTAGTGTACACAAAAGTGAATTTGGCGTTCAGTACTCACTAGATAAAATGCATTTTTTTTTATATAATATTTTCATATGCTTTTGAAATACATTTTCAAAAACATATTCTTAAGTCTTGTGTGAGTTCGAGTAAATTGAGGTTAAGTAATTTGAAATTTCCTACGGATTTTTTGCATTGCACTTATGTAAATATTTATTTATTTGTTTATTGCACATGTTTATTATTTTTGATTAAAAGTTTTCAAATTTAAGTATTTATTTATTAAACATCTTACAAAATTTTCACAATGGTTATTTACTATTTTCCTCAATTTACCATCAATTTAGCTACAACTTACACTATGATTGTACATCATAGTTTCTACTTAGTTATCATAGAGATACTTAGTTATCATCATATTAATTATCATGATGTAATCTTTAAATTTAAAATCATTCAAAAATAATGATGATATATAATAACGTTTTTTTTTTCTCTTGCCTTCGCTCTTCTTAAGCTCTGTAAATAATTTTTAACTGTATACATAATATTTTTAATTAATATTTCTATGGAATATTACTTCTGCATATACTTCTATATATATTCATATATAAATGTTTACTTGGTAAATAAAATGCAATTTTAGCAAAACTAAAATTAATATATGTAATATTTTTATACAACTTTTCAAAGTTAAAACATCAATAAATATTAAAAACAAAAATAAAATGCACAAAATTAAGAAAAATAACATGAAATGAATATTAAAAGCGCATTTTATTTAAATAAATTTTCTTGGTAGAATAAGAAAAGCAAACGCAAGTATTTGAAGAAGTTTAAATTCAAATTTTGTTCCATTTCGGTTGAGAACACATTAAATGCAAAACTCGAAATATTTTAAAATATTATAATTACCTTAAAATTTTTTTTAATAAAAAAAAAGTATTTATTATCATCGCACACTGTGCATGCGTTTCATATTTATATATTTCGTTCACTTTATACTGTTCAGTAAGTTAATATTTAATAATTTAAAGTGTAGGGGAACCTAATTTGCTTTCCCACCGCTCGAGCGCCATCCATGCACTTAAATTTCGTGAAATTCTTGCCAACAATTCGGTTTAAAACTGCAGTTGGAAATTAGGCTAACAGCGTACAAAACATGAAAAGTACTTCCAATTGCGAACTGCCATTAAAAAAAGCAATGAATAACAAAAAGTGGAAAAAGTTTTTGCTTCCGCCTATGCCACTTCCGTTTTTCGGTCGTACTTGGCACGCCAGCCAACGTATCAAGTGAGCTAGTTTGGAGTAAATTACTGGATGGGATGTGTAGCGTAAGATTAGCATTCGCATGCAGGCCGGGGCATTGTGTAGGCAAAACTGCATTACCACGCACGCCAATATGAGAAATTTATATTAACGTTATCCTGCGGATCGGCGTTGTTAAGCCACAAAACGACCCGAAATTTAAGAACTTCATTACTCACAGCTCTTGTAGTAATTGTTTTCGAAAACTGAAATAAAAAAGTTATGTATATTTTTATAGGCTAAACCACTTGATAACTATTTAATTCGGGCTTAAACAATGGCAACATATAAACATTTGGAAGGGGTTAAGAGTTTTTTTATTATAAATATATTATTATATATACTCGCTTCAACATCTAA